TGCTACAAGTAACTGCAACAACACCTTTCGTTGGCGAGGTGTTGTTGCGGCCCTATGCTCCACTGGGAGTTTACAGGAATAAAAAAAACGTGTTGATAATTGGACTTTCAGGACACACTGTGAGCTAAATTTTGTTGAAATTTGTACTTAGCATTCCTAATGAAAGCAGATACTGTACAGAAAATACTTTATTGTTAAATTTTATCAATATAATATTCTTGTCAAACCATTTATGCCTTCCTTTTTTTATAAAATTTTCATCTTATAGAGTACATTAAAAAATTTATTTTCAAATTATTAACTTCAAAGGATAATAAAGCTGTTCTGATTTAAAAGTTTATCACAAAACTAGAATTCTCCCCTAGTCTGGGAATACAAAACCTTCTGCTAAACCCTTGCTTTAGCTGTAGCATCATACTTTGTATACCCTCTATCCCTATCCTCAGGGACCATGTGATATACTTGCTAAAGATTTTTTTGCAATTAGTCCATCGATATATGGTTTTTAGGGCCTTTTTTCAATAAATATATATATTTTTTTAATATTTCATCTGATTTTCCAGTAACCTCTGGCTCCTGGAATTACAAAATGCTTAGTGGTTAAATACAATTATGGTAAAAAAAAGTCTTTGATTACAGAATACGGCATTACTGACATCTATTGTATGGAACTTGAAATTATACTGAAATAAAAGTACTAAAATGATGTCTTTGTCTAACAATATAAAAAACTTGTGTATTTAAAGTTGAAAAAAAAATAAATTGTATAACCTCAGTATTTGTAAAAAAATGTAGGATTGGTGAAAAAGAGTTCAACGGAAAGTTGGTTGCTTTTTATAAACTTGAGCTCAAATTTAATTTCTTAACTTTACCGTGATATCTGAACTACTTTTCTGTTGGTTTTGCAAAGAAAAAAATTCGACCTTTTCATGGGTGACAGTTCTCCATCTGTAGAACGAAGTCTGTCTAAATGGCCTTTCCTGGGCAAGATTACAAAGCTTATGTTTAAATTTTATGTGAAATAAACTAATTTTGTGTTTTGTTGCTAACACTGTTATCATCTTTATCAGTCTAATCATCCAATCATTTCAGTTTTGTACAAGGAAAGGGCCATAATTGGTTAATTTGGTGATATGTTTTGTACAAGGAAAGGGCCATAATTGGTTAATTTGGTGATATTTTTTGTACAAGGAAACGGCCATAATTGGTTAATTTGGTGATATGTTTTTTTTTATGTTCAACTGATTTTTTAAAAAATAATTGAGCATACGTGTAAAATGTTTGTGCATTAAAGTTTAAAACATTTAACTGGCCTCGTGTGAGTATCAGTTTAGTCTATCTGGTAACGTGATAAGTTGTGAATGACTTCTGAATTTATTTTTTCTACAAAGTCAATTTAAAATCTAATTATGAAAGTTGTCAAAAATGGTTCAGAATACATTAGAAAACATATACAACCATAGAGCTTTTGGGGGGTCTAGATGGCCCTCAACAACACCCTGGCCAATAGAAATGTTTCATTTAAAATGATCATTGGATACTTTCATCCATGCCTTTTACTTACCTCTCTCACACATACTAAACTGTCATATTTTGTACCTGTTACAACCATGTAATCTTATTCTGAGAATCATGATATAACATAGATAATAATTTTACATAGTTATTTTAAACATAGAAATGTGGGAGTGGCTAATACTGTAATTGTTTCTAACATTCTTCCAGGAACTACAGTCTTTGTTTCCAAGTTTGGTGGAGAATATTTTTGGATTTGGAACACAAACTGGTTGGGAACTGCGGACCATTACTCGCAGTCTTCAGCCTCGTTGTTTTGATACTTTTCGGTACTTTCTTTCCCCGGATGGCCATCATGGGACACTTTTTAATCTCATCTATAAACTCTTGGGGGATGGCTTTCTCAAGTATGAATTTCCAGTATGTTGTCTTCCTGTGAGTGCATCTTTGTTGTTTTTTTTCTTAGGGTTAAGATTGTGTAGCTTATATGTTTATAATTTAATCTTGGACTCTAAGATGTGTTATAGAAATTTTACAGTTAGAGACACATTGTCATTAGTTTTAATCCTTACATATAGTCTAATGAACAGAAGATGTAACATTAATTTTCAAATAGATCATAATTAGCAGGATGTAAAAAATTGACTCCTAACCTTTGTGCACATTTTGTTTTGGAGGATAATGAACATTTAAATGCGCAATCCTCAAGTAAAGCATAAACAGCAGGATATAGAAATTTGATTTTCAATCTTTATATACAGTATAATCAGCAGGGTGTATCATATTGTCAGCAACCTTGGTTTATATATGTGTATATTGCAAATAGTCTAATTTAATGTTTCCCCCCTATGTATACTAAATCAACTGTTTCTGTTTTACTTTTAAGATTATTTATATAGAGTTAACTAAGTAAAATTTGCTTGTTCAAATTATGACACCATACAAGTTGTACAGAGGGCTGAGTATTATATTAAAACAATTTTCAGTACACAAGTCAACAAGTCACATGACAACCTTAGCCAACATAAAGTCATAGCAATAGAATAGTATGTACCAGAACTACATTTTGACATTGGTGATTTGTGAGTAATGTGATGCCACTTAAAATTGATTACTTTTTGAAAGGGTATGTAGCAGCCTTTTTTGATGCAAATTATTTATACAATGACATCATACAGGTGTGCTCAGATCTTGGATTTAGATTTTTCAAGAAGGGGTTATCCCTTTTACTTAATGGCATGGGGAAACAAAGAATTATGGATCAGCTTGGGGACACCAGAACCATCCAGAAAGAGACCTGCAACAAGCTGTAGTAAGTAAATTGTGTCATCTCGTAACAGGTGCTGGAAAACCATTGCCATTGTACACTAGATAGCTTATGGACAGCAGACAGGGAGAAAAGGTGTGCTTTTAAGATGTCAGACTTAAAATTAGCCTTTTGCAATGGAATTTACACTGCAGGGCCATTATTTAGATGCTCAGATTTAAGGTAGAGCAAGACTAGATGTGCTGACATGGAGACAGTGTGGTGAGACATCAAAATAAGTTTAATATAACATATTCAGTCTGTTTTTAAACTTAACCTTAAGACTAATTATTAGTTTTTAAAATAGGTATGGGTTGCATCTTACCTGTTTCAGGTACCTAGTTGCCACATGCTGGAGGAAGGAGCAGTTCCTCTTCTGTATTCCAACAAACTCCACTATCAGAGTCCAGGAAGTCGACCAACCAACCTTCTTTTGAGTATCCTTTGCTTTGACGGTTACTCTTTTGTAACCTGTTGCTCGTTTAAATTAAGTCGTAACTCTGAAACAGGTCACAATTTTACAAGTTTTAAAGCAATGTTATGTAACTCATTTGGCCAGTTCTTCATATATTAAATAGTATACTATATTTTACTATATTTTTAAACTGACTTAACCAGTTTACATTTCTGGAATAATATTAATCATTTATAAAATGTTCTATTTACAAAATATAGCTAGTATTATCTATGCTTCTCTTCTTCTAGAACAGGTGTATTTATAGGTTATTTTAAACGTTGATTCTAAAAACAATAACTGTAACTTATTTCATTAACTACATGATAAAAATGTTTATGAAATAACCCTTTGAAGAAATATTGAAACCAGAAACAAATGAATTTGTAAATTTTGTAAATTTGTTTGTAAATTAAATACAGTAATGTGCATGTGTTTTCAGATTCAAAGCACATTATTATTATCACGATAGTATCAAACTTGACATGCACAAGATAGTAAGTAATGCATTTATATAATAATAATAATAATACTTAAAAAATTTATCTAGTTATTATATACTTATAGAAAATTAAAACAAAAAATATGGTTTGTTTTTCATTTAACTGGTGGCAAGATCCATTTGAATTTTATATCTTTCACTTTGCCTACTTCATTGTGAATCCCTCACATCAAAAGGTGAGTTGTTCAACAAAGTTTGAATGAGATTCCTTCTTTGTGTAATTCTGTCACTAATTTGTTTAAAAAAAAATCAGCAACCATTCAGATCATTCAAATATCTCTCCATTTTGACTGATACTGCAGTAAAATTGTTCTGTTTGGGAAGAAAAACAAGCTGTTGGTGACTCGCAATAAATAAACTTTTAGAGTGAAAATGAAATTGCTCGCCTCTCCTTTTTATAATGTTGGTTTGGTTCATAAGCACTGAACTGGCAATGTTCTAATTACCACTGCCCTGTTGGGGAGGGGGGCTCTGTTGTATTATCGAGTTTATGTTTCTTAATGTTCTATTATCGAGTTTATGTTTCATAATATTGTCTTATCGAGTTTGTTTCTTAATGTTGTCTTATCGAGTTTGTTTCTTAATGTTGTCTTATCGAGTTTATGTTTCTTAATGTTGTATTATTAAGTTTATGTTTCCTAATGTTGTCTTATCGAGTTTATGTTTCTTAATGTTGTCTTATCGAGTTTGTTTCTTAATGTTGTCTTATCAAGTTTATGTTTCTTAATGTTGTATTATTGAGTTTATGTTTCTTAATGTTGTCTTATCGAGTTTATGTTTCTTAATGTTGTCTTATCGAGTTTATGTTTCTTAATGTTGTATTATTTGAGTTTATGTTTCTTAATGTTGTATTATTGAGTTTGTTTCTTAATGTTGTATTATCGAGTTTATGTTTCTTAATGTTGTATTATCGAGTTTATGTTTCTTAAGTTCCTGTGTTGAGTTTCTTTTCTGATATTCTATTTTATCTCCAAAGTTTGATGCCCTAATCTGGCATAGTATATTAATTTTAGTGTTTTGTAACTCCAAAACACCATTAAAAAAACTAAAAGACCAAACTTAAAATCAGCAGGCTTAGAAGCCATGTTATGCTACAATTTCTACTACACTTAAGGGGTGGTTAACAAATTTTGATGTAATATTCAGTTTGAAAAATAAATCAAATTTATTACAACTAAAAAACAAGGCTTAAACCGGAATCGTAACTATGAATCCGTTATGGTTGATGTCATAGGATTTAATATTTGGTTTTCAGTTGCCAGTAAAAAAAATTTTTGTTTTCAGTGACAGCTTATATAGTGAGCCTAGAATTGATGTGCTAGAGAAATCTTTATGAGTGATTGTTGTTGTTTTATCCAGAACTTCAACACTTGTGGAAACCCAACTGAAGCCTTGTACTCTTGTCTTCTTGAAGACTACTTGCGCTACTTTTTGCCATTGGAAGGAAACACTGTTCCATCACTTCCAATATCACCGACATCTCTCACATTTTTTTCCAGGCATCCTTTGTATTCTTCATCTTTCTATAACAGGTAAAAAGAGTGTTACTTTTTACTAACTTATTTTTTCTAAGAATGTCACTAAAATTTCAAAAGACTCCAAGAAGTAGAGATAAGTTATAAATTTTCTTGGTAGAAGTATCTGGCAATAAAGTTCATTTTCTGTTATTGTGATGAATAGGGAATCTACTGTAGCGTTGAAGAGTCATTGGTAATTAAATATAGTTAGATGTGCTTATAAAGTGAACATTTTCAAGTATAAAATATGATGGTTGAAAGTATTTGTTTTAAATTTTTGTTGCTGAGGTATTTAAAAACTACAGGAGGTTTAGTGTATGTTTTGATATCCCTTATTGAACTGAAGAATTAAAAATTTTATACAATGTTATTTATTTTTGTTTTTTTTTCTCTGTAAAAATCATTAAACAAAATGTTTTAGTTTCAGTTTGATCTCTTAAAACTAATTTTGCCTCCTAAAGCCCTGTTTCTCTGGGTGGATTTGGTTCCTCCCATTGGCACTCTCCACACCAGCCTCCTCTTCAGATGCCACAGATTCCAGGATCTCCATTGCATAGGCATTCACAAACATCCCTACTAAAGCCCGGGAAGAATGCATTGTTGTCTCCAGCAGCCAGAAGCTCAAATCTAAGCATTGGAAATCAGGATAGTATTCGTCCAGATGTGTGGCGTTCTGAAGCTTTAGTTGTTATCATCACTGAGTTTTGGTTAAACCAAGCAACTATGAATGTTCACAGGGTGGAAATAGGTTCAGCAACTTCGGTGAGTAGTTCTCCTTTTAGTTAAAAATTCTGTTCATGTCACATTTTATTTTAATTAGGGGGGTTGGAAAGGTATAACTTTCCTCTATCTCACCCAGAACACCTGGAGTTGAAGATTTGTTTCAGTAGTTTGTGTGAACTGTAAAATGTGTATATATGTCTCAGTTTTTAGTGTACTTGTGAAAATTTTTTAACGTTTATCTCGGATACTTTTCTTAATTCTTTTACCTAAAACTCAGTCAAGGTGTGCAGGTCATGACATTTTACAGTGGTACATTCAAAATTTAATTAAACAAATTTATTATCAATGTATATGAATAAACTTGGCACGAAAATGTAGATTATAATTCAAATTTTTATATAATTAAAATTTTAATTTCAAAAAGAAATGTTTACAAAAATCTCAGACTTTGTTCTTCTGTGTCACACAATGCACCTGAGCTTTAATTTCTACACTTCAGAATTTTCTAACTGCTGCAATTTCCAACCAATTAGAAACACAAACTATACATAATTGTAAACAAGAATTGAAATTTTGAGTATATTATCTTCTTGATTTGCTGAGATGTCAATAAATTTGCCAAACCCACCAGAAAAGCTCTACTCCTCTCTCTCTCACTTTTGAGATTATTTGCTACTAAGTGGCTGATGGATATGTTTATAACCAATAGAAAGAGCATATTCACCTCTATAGATATGTTTATAACCAATAGAAAGAGCATATTCACCTCTATAGATATGTTTATAACCAATAGAAAGAGCATATTCACCTCTATAGATATGTTTATAACCAATAGAAAGAGCATCTTCACCTCTACATAAATCTTACAATTCTGCATTCTTTTTTGCCTTTGTAAGCCATTAATCGAGAAGAAGTACGTGATATGTATTGATCAGATATGGCATTCCAAAAAGTAACAGAATTTTCTTAACTTATTTTTTTTCTTATGTAGAAAGCCAGCTAAATTATAATAGTTTTGGGACATTTTATTCTAGGGACTCGTATAACTTTTGTGTTCTAAAATTTGTTAGGTTTAGGGAAGAATGTCTAAGATTTTTTACCCAAATGCAAACAACTCAACTCAACTGTGCACTGAATACTACAGGCCCTTGTTCTTTATGTATATTTTAAATTTTTCGATGTATGTCTTTTTTTTTTTAAGTAACTAAAATGTGAAATTATAAACTTCTCAGCTTAACCTAAGAAGACCTTGGTAAAATAAAACATCTGAAATTTCTCTAGCTGGAACGCGGTGTAAAACATGACACTGCGACTTATTGCTTTTGACATGAATACAGCAATAAAACCTTAAAATTAAAAGAAAACGGATGTGAAAAAAGTTAACAGTTGAAACTGTTGAGATAAAGTAACTTTCTGATCAATACTGTCGTCTGTGCAGGGATTTTATTTCATGTGTTTCTGCTTTTTATTTCTCTGTACATTGGTGATTTCTCTACAGTGTTAGGGAAGAGAAAATGAGATAAAATATTAAGTTTTATTGGAAAAACTTTTGACATTCACATAGGAGGTCTTAGAAGTTATGTAAATGAAATATGAAAACTGTAAGATGAAGTACTTTTATTCTTAGTATTCAAATCACCTTTTAATCAAAATGACTCAGTGAAGGCTTTTTAAAAATTTATTACAAACTTTAATTTTTTGTGTACAACAGACTTCTAACATTTGCTAAAAACTTGCTAGATTTTTGTAAAGATACACTTACGAAAATCAGAGTTATAGTATGTATAGTTTCCCAGTTCCCTGGTTGGTCAAATCAACCAGCTTCGTTTTTATAGGGATAACCGTATTTTGGAAATAGAAATATTCACTTCCTTATCTTTTCACTTTAGGAATATTATCATCAAGATTATGATTATCCACTTCTCCAACAGAGGGCTACCAGATTTTTTCTTGTAAGTTAAAGTGGGTGTATGTTGTTTTTCCAGACGAATCAAGTCTTCTAACCAAGCAGGCATGTCAACTAAAACCTAGGCAGTTTATTTTCTGATTTACGCCTTGTTCTAACTACATTTTTGTTGGGTTTGCGATGCAAAAGATACTAAAGTTTCTTACTGGTAAAAAGATCTTGTGTTATGCTTTATGTAGCAAATTTGATGTTTAGAAGTGTGACTGTCTGTTATCACACATGTGCCCTTGTTCTTCAGCTGTCAGATATTCTTTATCAATCAGAGGTTATTGTTACAAAACAATCAATATTATGTGTTTGTGATGCCTTTTATATGTGTGTACACAAAAATCTTAAGGTGAAGAGTATTAAGTAAGTGATGAAAATATTATCATTATTAATGAATCCTTTTTTTTTAAATCACAAAAATTTTGTACACCATTAAAGCTACTCAAACTCAACAGGGGCACAACCATGATAACATTTTGTTAAATAGATCGGGCTGTTCCTGTGTTCTTATCTTTAATAGGACAATGCGTAGATTTTGTTTTCCACAGAGATTTAGACTTACCAAGTTTTATAAAGCATGATACAGTTAACAGTTAACTAGTCAAGGCGTTGGTAACTTGTTAGAAGAAACAGTTTAACACATTTCTGCTCTTAGTTAGTGTTGTAAAGAAGTTCAACATGCATGATTTTTGTGTTCTCCTAGTGGTGAACATATTCATAAAGATTTGCTTTGCTTTGTGCTCAAGCTCAATTAATATATATATATACTTTTATCAAAGTCCTGATTTTTATAGTAAGACTATGACTTTTGTCCTGAATTAATTTAGTTCAAATAAGTTTCAGTCAGGCTACTCATATTTTAAATAAGACTTCTTTGGTTATTTCACGAAGTATGAAATATTAAACTGTTTTGATAAATTTGATGCACTGTTATTGAAGAGACAGTTCAAGGAACAATAGTTTCAGAATCGTATGTAAGCAATTTCTGTTGTTATATTTCAGTTCCATTACAGTAGCTTATTGTTAACTGAATGCTAATTGATACTTTGACATTGTGTCATTCTAAGCCTACATCTTCTTACTATGGTAATGTCATTAATAGTTTTGTTTTTTCTCATTCTTAATTATTTTTTAATATCTAACCTTGTCCTCATTGGTAGGAAGTGTCCATTTTTATATAAGTACATGTTCATTTATTACTCTCGTTAACTAAAACCTTTTTAGTAATATTAAACAATTCTGCTTTAATTTTTCTTAATAATTCTGGCACTTGTAGAAGACATCAGTATAACCTTAACATTGTCCTTACTTTGGGTTCAGTTTTTACTTCGGTGGCTTTTCTTTTTGTGTACCCTTCTTTCATTCTCTTTGGACCAAAGTAACCAGGAGGAAAAAAATTGTTTCCCTCTTTTTCTTGCTACCACTTTCAGTTTCTGTCTTTTAGTTCAGAGGTTATCGAACTTTATTGTCTGCAGACCACTTCGGCAGGGAAAAAGACCCCCTGCAGACCACCTGCCGATCCGACTCCCAGCCGTTTTTGCTTGCCACTGCAGAAAAACCCATAAGAATTAATGGGAAGAATAGCACTGCTTTTGATGTGACTTGCATTTTGGACCAGCCTGTGGACCACCTGGAGGACCCTTGCAGGGCACACTTTAAGAACCAGTGTTTTAGTTGTTACCTCTCTTAGAGGCTTTTTTTTTAGTTCTTCTATTTCATTTTTAGGAATGACCTCTTCCTCTTATCAGGTTTTGCATTCTTGAAATGATTTTAAATCCTTACTGTGGGTCCATAATATGATATTCAACCTTCATCACATCTTTCTGCTTTATCTTAACTTCTTGGCTCTGGAATCATTGGAGGAAGTTTTCTTTGATCCCCACTTTTATTCTCTGCTTGAAAATAATACAGCTCCTTCACATCCTTTCAAGTTCTAAGTTTTCTTTCATATTTTGCCAGATTTTTGTACTTGTAATATTTTCTCTGTACTCGGTTGTTTTCTGAAGTTAAATTGCCATCTAAGGTTTTATTGTAAGCCCAGGTTTTTGTGCTATCTCCCTTTTTGGCTCGTTTGCTGTTTATAATATATTGTAGTGTTTTTTCTTTACTTGACTGTCTTCCAAAGCCATTTGCTATCCATGTTTTTTATTGTAGACTCTAGCTTTATATCTGTTCCATCTCTGATTGATTTGCTGCTTAGAGCATACAAGCTCGGGATCTACTCTTTGACCATATGCACCCTTCCTTAGGCATATATGGGGGTAAAGGCACCCTCATGATTCACAAGACCCCCAGTGTAACAGTCAAGCTCCTCCGTTTTCCACAGTTACTTTTATAACTTCCCTGCTAGATTTGAGTTCTCTGATCCTAAAAACCCTACTTCTCTAGTCACACCACATCTGAGTGGCTTTTGAAGCATGTTTTAGCCCCCCTTTGTGGGGAGACTACACCATATATGTGGAGACACACACACAACAAGAATTAGTATAAAATAAGGTGGTATGTGAAAAGTTGTTTTCACAAGTGCTTCTGTTCTTCTTTGTATCTCAAGATAGTCCAAGGGACTTTCAGCCTATGCTACTTTTATTATCTTCATATACATAATTCTGTACAGTTCTCCTGACTTGCTGTGATTCTCTGTATGTCATGTTTCTACAGTTT